GGCCCCATGAATTTTACAATTTTAATGTTTTAAATATTAACACTTCCAAGTTTGAATAGCAGTTTGCTGACCTCTTGTGTTAGCTGTTAGTACTACACTGCCTCAAAGCAAGCTTCAGAATCATAAATATTGAGAATCATAAATCATCATAAATACCTCATAAAAACTGAGGTACAACACAGAACATAAAGACAATTAAACAGAAGGCTTAGCAAACAAGGACTCCACACCTATGGATACTCCACTTTATGAAGTTATACAGAATTTGAAGAGATTTCTGCTCTTTCTGACCTTTACATCAGATCCTGCAGACATCCTGTCTACTTAAATCACAAAATTTACTATAATAGAGTCTCCACAGGTGAGAATCCAATAATGGGCAAGGACCACAGTGGTGTACAAATCACCACAAGCCACATGAGCATGGACTGTTTGGTCTCCTAATTTTTATTTGTGAAATACACCAGAGTAAAAATTACCTGTAACTGTACCAACTTTTAAAAAGTGGCAAGACTATCAATTACTTCTTGTTGCTGCAGTTGTACCTATATCTAGTAGTCTACCCAATCCCTAAGAAGTTTTCCTTCTGACCATGTGAATGAGAATCGGATTGCTGAATGTTACAAGAGATGACTGATTTGGGCNCTTCTGACCATGTGAATGAGAATCGGATTGCTGAATGTTACAAGAGATGACTGATTTGGGCGATCCCCACCCATCCTAGAAAGAAAACAGAGGCCTGGAGCAAGGATTTGAACAAAAGATGACAAGGAGGAGAATCCAGAGCTTTAGCGGGAGAGTCTAATTTTCTTGTTATTTCAGTGCATGGATATTATGACACCATTTTTAACTGTTCAGAAACTTACTTTCTGTAGGGTGGAAAATAGGGCATTAATTATGGGTTACTGACAATGTTACCAGCATAAATTGAAGCACCATCAAAGCAAAACACTTACACCTAGAAATGGTCTCTGCCAGATGAAGCAAAGTCAACCTAAAGGTGAATTTAAATGTTTAAGTTCAGACATATTAGGACATAATAGAAATCTAGTTATTCTGATTACAAAGTAAATTTTAAAAACCTCAATAGTGTCTCTCTCTCATGAGAACTGGTAAATTTGAGCACAAATCAGAGGAATCTTACCTTTGGAGGCTTGAAGGGATATTCTGGTGTAAAAGTGATATCGAGGAAGAATACACCACCCTCATACACTGAGCCTGGAGGCCCCAGAATGGTTGATCTCCATTCGTAGATGTTATCACCTTTGGGACCAGCACTGTGAAATAATACATCAACAGATAAGTTGATGGTGGCACCATCCCAATTTTTATAGAAGCAAAAAAGGGGGAAAGATCACCTCTCTTCCTTCTTGTTTAATGTGTAGATTTGCTTCACAAAACAGAAGTATCTTTCAGATAGAATTTGATGCAGAACTGCAACACACTCATCAGCCGTTGGTTAAGTACATTTGATGATAAAAGAATGTTAAAGCCATTCTAAGCCTACTACTTAACTGTGAATAACCAAGAAACTTCCTTCAATTAAACCTCTCCCTTGACATATAAGAAAATGTAAATAATACTTTTTAAAAAAGAGAAACATTTTAGCACACAGAAGCTAAATTAGTGACAAAGGGCAGGAGTTTCTGCTCAGAGCTACGTCATTTCTTATGACCATTTTAAGCATAAAAGTTTCAGTTTCTGGCCCACTGACTGGCTCTTCTTCCTTGTTCTTGTATCTCCACAGTCTTACCCTAAAAAGAATCTAATAGATGGTGGTACTTTTTACATTATAGGCCATGACAGGTGGAAGGAGGAGGAGAATGATGACAAGTATCTAATTATAAGTTGCTCAATTTTAATTTATATATATATATATATATATA